GATCAAGTTTATCACAACGTGCAAAACCGTTCTAATTGCTTTATGTTCACTTTACCAACAGCGTATCCATTAGGGATGTTATCATGCTCCAATCGGTTAGTTTGTGCTTAAAACTCGTTTGAACACTTACACTTACGTGAAACCTGGTTATCAAATTCAGTTTATACAAATATACTTGAACGGATTAATAAAACCTGTTATTATTATCACTATTTATTAAAGTAAATACATGAAATTTACATTTGTAAAATATACGTATTATGCATTTATACACCTATTGCTACGTATTGCTTATTTATTGACCTACATAATAATATCCTAAATAACACCTGATTTATAACACAATATCACAATTAACTTTTAATTAAAGAGGCAAATTTTTGTCATATTAACGTAATGCCATAATAATTAATCGATCGAAAAAAAAATGCTGTTTCATCAATAACGATATTAATTAAAAGTCTAAGCATCCAATCGATTTTGAACTCGATTTAAGTATGCTGAGTTTAAATAACATAATAAAAATCACAGGATCGCAGAGGCATGAGTTTAACTTGTTTGGGTCTCAAACAGGATCGAACAGAGTTCGGGCAGGATAGTATCCATGCTGATGAGATCCATTTCACCAATTTAGTACTAGGAGTAAATTATTTCACTGTCAATTTAATTTCACCAACATTATTAATCCACACGTAAATTTGAGTCAAAACCTAATCCAAATATTAATGTAATTGTGTATCTTATTGAGTTCGATCGTGAATGTAAATTAACTCACTGAGATGATTACCGACATAAATCAGACTATAATGATTAATCATATTTATATGTAAAATACTAACGTTCATTGGGTATCAGAGAAATTCTATGAATCAATTTATTTAACGTTTAATGCGTTTAATGACACATCAATTCCATTAATTCTTAGTAAACTATCAAAGAAGAATGGCAGAGATCAGATCCGTTGAAAAATTTTCATCCGGGTTATCCGAATTTCAGGTACGTAGCATATAATAACAGACCCAATCTATAAATAGCATATAATAACAGACCCAATCTATAAATAATGATACCATATACAGCTTCCTTACAATAATAATTTCTTGAGTCACCGTTGACTGTTTGCAATATCTTACAAAAAATAATATCACCTCATAATTAAGATCAGTACAGATTTCATTCACATATTCATATCGATATCTCCTTTTTTTTTGCTAACACCACAAGCATAGTTGAAATTACTATCTAAATTTTTTTTTTTTTGCCATATTTGCACAAATTGAGGACGGTGATTTTGTTTAATACGGCATAACCATGATTTGCAAACACGTAAAATTAACAGCAAAGGCTTTTGACTTGTATTCCATCAAATGACCAGGTTCCCTAATTGGAAATATAAGGCAATAGATTATAGCTAGATAAAGAAAAAACTTGAGCTAACGCATTCATAACGATAAATGGGGGTTGGGTCAAAATTCCGACAGGCCATAATCCTGACAAAAAAATCCCGACAATCAAAAAAAGTTTTCCTTGAGAAATTTTACTATAAAATCGTCTAAACCAAAACCCTAACCTAGGCGCTCACTCTAACCCCAACCTAGCTTAAATAAACTTAATAATTTTTTATTTGTTGGGATTTTGACCGGAACCCCATAAATGCACACCTCGGAACCACAGTAAAAAAATTGAAATATGTATTTAAAGGTGTGCATTTATAGAGAGCAAAATATATATAATTCTTATAAAATAGAGCCTAGTTATACCACGCATTTAGAAAGAATTTACATAGTGTATGCATTTATAGAGTATACGTTTACAGAGGTATGCCTATAGCTCTAAAAATCTATTTATCGTTTAGGTAAAGATTAATAATAAAGTTTCTGAAATATTATTTTGGCCAGGATTTGGGATTATAATTATTTTGAATTTGGGTGTCAAATATAATCGTAGGTGTTTTATATTACTAACTGAAAAAAATTATATTAAATTTACATTTCAAATAAAAGAGAATTGTGAATTTGATCTATACAAACTGTTAATCAGAAATTTTAAAATTTAACGTGAGTCGATTATGATTACATCGTGGAAAGATTCTTATTAATTTCTTTATCAGATGAGTCGATTATAATTACATAGTCGATCATAATTAAATCATATAAAGGACTCTTATTCATTTCTTCACGATTATTATCACGTTGTGTGAAGCATTCTTATTACTTTCTTTGAGATTTCTTTTTTTTTGATTCACAATCGAATTCTTCTAGAGTTTCTTTGCTTTTCAAAACAGTTATCTGGCCACTTTCAATAACTATTTTTTTTTTATCTACAAAAAATTCATTGTTCGTAAATTTAAGTAATTTCTTCCGACATAGTCAACTTTTCATAATGTATACTTAACATTATTTGGCATACAGTTATCGCATATGCTACTTTAATGTTAGTATAAGTCGAGTTAAGCCAAATTTTTTCAAGAATTCTCGCCATGTATGTATCATAATTTTAATCGCTTCTGGTTCTTCATCGTATGCCACTTTCTCTATGCTCTCTTTACATTCGATAAATAGTCATTTAATGGGCCATTATTTTTCTTAGGTAAAAATATCGACAGATTTTTTTTTTTTTTGTTAAAAAAAAAACGTGTCAGATATTATTTAAAATGCAATAAATCTTATAATAAAATGATTATAAAGAATCTGTATATCTAAAGATCCATGTGTATATAGGGATATTGTTATTAATAAAATAAATTGTATTGTTTTATATACCATCGATTAATAGCATATACGTGATTTGTTATGAATACTTTCAAAAGATTACTTTAATCAATAATAAAGTTACATATAAACATTTTTTTCTTTCATGAAATTATTATTCAATAATTATTCTGATATAATAGTACCAAAATTTAATTAACTTACTATGCACTTGTGATAAAATGAATTCACAAAACTCTTCCTGACTTCAATTATTTCTAAAATGTCAACTGCTATAAAACCATCTAGCGAAATAGATAGTAAAATTGTGTATCTTTGCCATGAATGAAAGCAGTATTTTTGCGTGCACGAGAATTTTCTGTTGCATAACTGTAATATCTATTTAGGCTACGTTCATATTTTACTGATTCATCTATAAAAATTAATTGATAGTATGTGGCAAGAAAAACACTTCTTAAAAGCTTATTTCTTTCGGATGCCGTCTTTTATAACTAATAAAGAAGTAATTAGCTTTTAAAGAATTGATTTTAAATACATTAATTAAATTTAATTTCAATTACCTTTTTATGAGATAGTTCATCCAGGTACCAGTCTACCCTTTTTTTAACAAGACACTTTAATAAATTTAATTCTTCACGTGTAAAAGTTTTCTACGACTGGTTCACAGGGTGAAATGACAGTGGAATAAATTGTAATTAAAGATAGACAAAGCAACTGTCAGAAGGGTGAAATGGTGATTTAGCAGGGTAAGTCAGAGTTTTTATACAGAAGAGATTTTAATACGATTATTTTATATTTATTTAATTGGTAACCGTAATGTTCCGATTCTTTTCAGAGTCAAAATTACAACTCTTTTATAGCTTTTACATTAGTACAAGATGGATGGGGCTTTGGTCGATTAATTCATTATCCTCTCAGCCAAATTTCTTAAGGATTTAACAGCTTCTCCTTAAGGGACAAGGATTTTCTCTGCTTTCCCTTCGATCTTTAACCTAACACTCAATTCTTTCTTCTTCCGCAATGACTCGCAAACGCGTTTGTGTCACTTCCACTGGAACATTCCACCTATGACTTCTAAACCGCGCATGTAAATCTATAATGTTGATTGGTTCGAAACCGCTATCATATGATCACGAGATTTTACTGCGTCAAATTTCGGAAATCTCATTTTTACCTTTGAAAGGATTTTTATCACATCTCTATTTTTAAACGGGTGTTACCATCCCTACGTCTATGCCTTTAATAGACTGGATATTATTGCTACTTTAATACAGTAATATGATATATTTTATTCCCCAATATGATACCAGTTTCTTCACATAGTACGTACTACATAGTTAATCTATAGCTGATACGTATCGAATTTAAAAATTTGATGAATTGCAGTAATGTCGTAGTGTTGATAAATAATACTCGATCAATTTAAGTATACATTATTGGGCAATTTGGCAAATGAACACGTGCCGCTTTGCGGCACGTGAGCCAATCATTTGCCAAACTACGGTATTCGCAAATTTGCACAAGGCTCAGCCCTTCACATGAAAAAAATAACGTGCAGAAATATATATATGATCATAAGATATGTTTGAGAAATCAGTCATTATGTGATCGATCATCAACTCTAATGTTTTATTGCCATATTCCATAATACTGGGAAAGATGTAATGAAGGGGTACAATGAAAAATTGGAAAGGGAGCATATATGTGCATATAGATAATTATATTTCCGACCTCATATTTGCACATATGTATATCAATATAAAACCAATTCTGTGGAATAAATGTCTGCTGTAAGATTTAAATTTTATATCAGTTCAATATAGTAAGTGTTTAACTTTTGAAAAGATTTTTTTTTCAAAATAGTCAATTGGTTATAGAAAAAGTTGTAATTTAGAAGAAAATTTAAATTCGAACGTATCACTTTTATTTAGAATTATATGATAAATGTTCAATTTGGTTAAAAAAGGTTTTTTGAGACTTAACACTCATCATACTGATGTAAATATACATTTCCAGCTTTTTATTTAAGACATTCATTTCACCGAATTAGCTATATATTGATATATATATATGCCGACAATATATGACTCACATGCATATATATACACATCACATATTCCAGTCATTCTTTTAGAAGCAATAATAGACTGAAAAGGGGCACAATAAAAGGCTTAATGAAAGATTGGAAAGAGGAACGATGAAGAAGCAAATAAAAGGTTGTAAGGAGCATAACAAAGAAGTACGATGAAAAGAATAGAGGGAAATAATGAGTTTAAAAATGGGGAATGAATGCCTGAGAATAGACACAATAAATGTTTGGAAATAGGGTTCAATAAAGAGTAGATATAATAAATTAGATAACCATGTTTAGTAAATTAAAACCAATCAAACTAAATAAAAAAAATAAAATCGACAGGCAATATGACGGCACCATGAAAATGTGGTATTACGACATTCAAGGTTTAAGTTCGTGATTAATTATGATACGTGTCGTAATTCAATAATTACGGCAATATCTATACCGGATGCTGTAAGCAAGTAGCCAACGATAAGCGGGGTTTCTCCAGGCAATGTTAATGAGAAGGTGTCATTTACACTTTCCCATTAACACAGCCGAGAAAAATCAGTACCCTGACCTTTTACATGATTCAAAAAGGCACATTAACACATAATTTAACCCACCGTTACAAAAAGATCTTTAATAGTTAAAAATCTTTTATAATTTGTATAATTATAATTTCTATTCGGTGACTTATAACCAAATTCAAAATTCGGAAAAAACTTGAAGAAAAGTTCAACTACAGTTTAATACAAGTCGTAAATTTACAAAAATGACAATTAATAAAAGAAATAATGAATTAATTATGAACATTAGTGAAAAGTGGTAATCATTAGGCCATACAAACTTAATAAATTGATTCTCATAACATAAAAATTTTAAAAGTGACCGGCAACTTGGCTTTTAATTTTATTTTCATATAAAATACATATAAAAATTTTTAGGTTTTTTTTTGAAAAACTCACCCGGATAGTAAATATGCTTAAAATTTTTTCTTGGAGTTTTGTAAAATTTGATCCGGTCGGTTTTGAGAACAATTAATTTTGTATGGCCTTATAATATACAAAGAAGAGGAGATCATTAACAATTTTATTTTAATTGTTAGTAGTGGTAACGAACTAAATGTAGGTTCCATACGTACCGAGCTATGATATTCTTCATGATTAACTGAGTTTTATAATGTACTAACGGGCCGTATCTCCTCGCAATAGTCATATAAGAGTTGAACCAGGGCATTAGTCATTACTCATAGCATCCTCATGTTAAGATCTAACCATTATTATCTTTCTTACACAAAGTATATGTGACTACTAAACCTAATCCTAGAAAATTTATTATGCAAGCTTTCAAAGTTTTCGTTGTTTCGTTGCGTAAATTAAGAAATTTTTAAGGATAATTAGATATATTTATAGTACTTAAATCCTAAAAAAAAAAAACAATAAAAAAAAACAACTATTAGCAGCGGGTGGTTTCGATCCACCGACCTCGGGGTTATGAGCCCCGCGCGCTTCCTCTGCGCTACGCTGCTTCTAATATGACAAAGGCCGATTTTTTTCATTTATTAAGTCTTTATTTTTAATCAAATGAGTCATAATTAGAAATCCGAATTTCGGCGAAAAATAACTTGTAAATCAAATCAAATAAATCATGGCGTAAATACGCATGTGTGTTACACGGTGCCGATCTATCAGTCAACTGAAAAAACCTTCTGATTGGGCAAGAGGTTACCCAAAGCCTGCGGTCTCGTGATGTCTTCTCTAAAATTTCATTGGCCAAGAATAACCCACAGATCAACGCTTTTTCGATTAAAAACTAACTTTAACGCTGGGTGAAGGTGAGCAATAAAAACGTTAAAGAGTTACTATAAATAGCAAAATTTGGCAAGGGATCTTTTTTATTAAGACGCAGAACGTGGCCAAATTTTGAGTTCTGTAGATTTTTTATGCAGTAGCTATGGATAATGTTGGATACGTATGGTGTAAGAAGTCTAGAATCTTATTCAGTATTGCCATAAAATTTCACCCTTACGTAAACAACGAAAAATTCTTTAAGTTCGGTTATGTTTGGGCCAGCGCCCGAACTAGAGTTTGGATTTAGATAGTTCTATGGTAAAATCGCCCAAGAAACTTTTTGTTAGTGCATAACGCAAATTCTTAAAACATAAGAGATTTTTGACAAAAACTATTTGTTTGTTGAATTTTTTGATTATGCTAAATTACATTAAATTATAATCTTTTATTGAATCAATAAAATGAAATTTTTATCCCTTAAACCGTTTAAAATTCAGAACAAATTTGCCCTAAATTTAACTATAAAAATAGTTTGATCTATTTTAATATTTAGATATTTAAATAAAATTTAACATGATAATATTTGAAAATAAGAATTATATTTATGTAGTATTTATATTTATATTATAAGACAAAAAATTTAAGTTGTTTATAAAACAAAAGTAGTTAAATTTATAAAAAAATTTAATTAAAAAATAATTTATAATTGTTTTAGTAAAACACTTTAAATATTGATATTAAAAATATAATTCTTAAAACAATATTGAAGTTTATATAAAGGATGACAACTTTTATTATTAAATTTCAAGTAATTTACTTGTAAAAATAGACTTGCATTAGAAGTAAAAAAAATTATATAATTAAAAACATATAAAATTTTAAAAAATTTAAAGAAAAATTTATAATAAAATTTTCAAAACAAAAATGTTAAATTTTTATTATTCAAAAAATTTTTATTATTTTAAAAAATTTTTTTAACAAAATTAATAAAACATATTTTTTTTTGTTTTTGCTAAGATTTATGTTAATAGTAATTATTATCTTTATTATATTTTTTAATTATACATATATACATATATACATATAACTTGTACAAGAATAAGCATACAATTAGCTATTTATATAACTTTTAGTTGCCTATTGTTCAAAGGTTCTATACTAGTTGTCATATTTGTAATTTGTTAAAAAATTACTTTTTAAATGTTCTGGTCTTATACTATATCAAATAAGTAACATTAAAGTTTTTGTACATCTAAGTATTATCTAACTTAATATATAATCTCTCCAAATATGTTTATTAAGTTGTTATTTATCTTAAAATACATTATTTAATTATAAATTTTTAAATGTTTTTCTGTTAACCAACCTACCTATTTTATAATTTTTATTAACAAAATTCATTTTTGTAGAGTTTATTTAAACCTTAATACCAATTTTATAATATATTTCTAGTACTTATAGTATATTTTTGTTTTGTTTTCAAACTTCTAATTTAGATAATCTAGTAGATTGTAACTTATTTTTGGTATATTAAATCTGATTCATAATTTTTTTTTAGTTTAATTCTAGCAGTCTGATTGGTAATACTTATTATTTAAAAATTTTTATCTGTTTGGTTTTTTTATATTAGTATTTATTTTCTAGATCTAATCTTTATAATAGTATTATTAAAGATCTTTGTTATCTTTTTACTTTAGTCTTTTCAAATAAGTTCTGTTTTCTAATTTTATAGATTTATATAGTTATAAAGATTTATTTTAAATTTGCATTGCCTAGTATCAATTTACATCTCTCTATATAACTAAAATAATATAAATATTCTATAACTTGTTAGTTATATTAAATGTAATTATAGTTACAGATATCTATTCTAATTGGTTAACAGAAAACAGCTGCTATAACACAAATAATTATTTAAATTTTTATTATTAATAAGTTTTGAATTTAAAATCTATTTCTTGAAGTTAACAACTTATTTATTTTATTAAGTTACTATACTTCTTAATAAAATATATCTTAAAATATATTTTTTATTTAAAAATTATACTGTTAAAATTAATATTTAAAATTTTATTTTAAATATATTATTTTTAAAAAAATTTTAAAGCAAATTTTTATAAAAAAAACAGTTTAAAAAATATTATTAGAATAAATAAAATGTTATATAATAAAAATATATTTAATTAGAGATTTCATTAAAATTAATTTAGCTGATTTTATTAAATATTAGTTTATTATTATTATTTTTTTTGGTATTAAGATGACTTCTTTGGTCTTTTGACTTTTATTAATCATTTATTAGTATTGTGATTCAATGAACTATTACAGAAAAGTGTACAATTGGCTACATGTGTAACTTTTTTATATTACCTATTTAAAGAGTCTGCCCAAAGGTTCCTTACCAATTGCCATATCTAACACTTTTGCTTAGGTATTCTACTTTAAACTCTCTAAACCTGTAATCTGTATTAATATCACTGGGTTATATCCAGATGTCCAGATCATTGTCTCAACTTTAGAACTAATTTATCCTTAAGGTAAACCCCTCAGAGCCT